TAAGGGCTGAGGGACTTCAGCTCCCAGAAGCCTCAGCTACGTTGGCCAATAGCTCCTGGGATTCTGGGAACTGAATAATCAAAGCCGCAAAAGTCAAAGCCACAAATGTGGAGGGATGAGTGTGTCTTTCAAGAACTTGAGACATAGGTAGCGACTTGAGGCTTGACTTGAGATTTTGAGTAAAACACAAATACATAACTCATGGTTTTCAAACAACCTTACTGATGCATGCATCCCATACCATGTATCTTTTCTGATTTGGTTTGCAGGCCATGCATGTGTTTTTACAGCTAACCCATCATAATCTCATTTACAACCTAAGTCCCATTGCAACACTGCTAGTGAAAGATAAAAGAATAGACCTGGAGCAGTCTGAAATGGCAATCTTGTCTATGCCACAATAAAGCCTGGATTTCTTTGTCCTTCAACCTGGGAGAATCTGGCACAGAAATTAGGAGTGGGTAACCAAGGATTTATTGATCAAAGACCAGTGAGAAAGAAGGCTACAATCAAATTTCTTGCAGTCTGTCAGGGACACTGAATTAGCCAAACAGAGATAAAACTACAAAGAATCTGGAGGCACCTTAAAGACAGACAGATTAAATACTTCTTTGTTTTTACTGCAACAGACTAAAAGGGCTATCCCCCTTGGAAGTTGCTAACAAGTGATAAGATCACTGATTGTGTCTCTGAACAGAAACAGTGTCCATAATTCTGTTTGTTTGATTTTTAATTGTTTTTTCTAGTTTATTAACATTGATACTTCCATTTTTTAAAAAATCTACATAAATAGATTAAAGCAGAGATAAATAACTTTTGTTCAGTGGGGGGAACTGGCAAAACCACATCTAAGTATTCCTTGCCTAAGAAAACCCTATGAAATTCATGGGGTCGCCATGAGTCAACAGGTGACTGGAAGGCACACAGACACGCAAATAACTTTTTACCTGCCAGATGCTGCTGGACTGCAGCTTCAGTCCTCCCTCACCACTTCTATATTGTCTGGGGTGCTGGAAGCTGCAGTATAATAACATTTGGCAGGCCAAAATCATCCCTGGTTTAGAGAGACTAAAAGTCAACCTTACTAATTTGTCATCCACATAACTTGATTGCAAATAATTTGTGGTGTAGATGTTTTAAAAAGAATTGGCATTAGTGAATTTTCTCCCATCATGTTTACTCATTTTACTAATGCATAATTTTCACAGTTTTTAAAATGCATGTTGTTTTTCCTATTTGGCATCAAGCCAGCTTTGACTTATGGCAACCCTATAAATAAGAGCCCTCTGAAATCCCCAGCCATCAGCAGCCCTGCTGTAGTCTTGCAAACTCAGGGCTGTGGCTTCCTTGACTCAGTTTTTATTGATTCCTTTGATGAGTTACTCTACCTGTAATGCCATCTTCCCCTTTTAATATTGCCTTCCACTTTACTGAGTAGTTTCATCTTTTTCAATGAGGAATGTCATCTCATGATGTGTCTAAAGAAGAACAGCTTCATTCTGTCATTTTTGGTCACAAATGCAGGCTTGCTTTGCTCTCAGATCCATTTGTCTTTTCTTGCAGTCAACTGTATCTTTAGAACTTTCCTTGAGCAGCACCTTCCCAATTAGTTGATTTTCTTCCTGCTAAGCTTTCTTCACTGTCCAGCTTTCACAACCATACACAGAAATAAAAATACTATGGCATGGATGATTCTTAGGGCCGTTGCATTCCTGCCGCCCCAACCCCACCCTGACACCATCCTGATGCCGCGCAGCTGTATGCATGCCATGCAGCGTCAGGACACCCTTCTGGCACAGTGTAGACACTCTGCACCAAAAGGGCACGGAAGAGCCACAGCGCCGGCTCTTAGGGTGGCCTTTTGCTCCTTTAGAGGCGGCCCAAAAAAAAAAAAAAAAAAGGATCGGGGCCACAGCATGGAGTTGCCATGGTCCCAATCCGCCGCTCCCTGGGGCGGCTCTCTGCCGCCCCAAATGGCCCATCTGCATCAGTCCTATACTTTGGTATTTAATAATATATTTTATAGTTGAGGATTTTGTGTAGTTCCTTCATAGCTGCCCTTCCAATCTTAATTTTCCTCTGATTTCTTGACTGCAGTTACTGTTTGTACTCATGACTGAGCAAAGGTATAATAATCCTGCATGTAATTTAAAAAGATATGGTGATAACATGCACACTTGTCTGACCCCTTACCAAAATGCAAACAATTGTTTCTCCATATTCTGTCCTGACAGAGGGCTACAGATTACATATCAGAGCTACATCAAAATAATTTAATGGTTTATATGATGCAACATATGGATGTGTTTGCATACAGATAACTTGTAGAAGGATGTAGTTAGTTATAGCTCTATTTTACACTCTGTAGCAAATCTGGGTTTGTAGCTGTGTAATGTGTGAAACAGTCCTTTTATACCACCATTAGCTGAACCAGGAAAATGTAAGGTTTTTTTTAGTGATTGCTCTTAACTACAGGTTCCCATAATGAATTAGGAAATCAAGACTAAAATGTATGAAATCAGAAGGTTATTACAGAGTACCTGTATGCTTCACGTGGGAGTAAAATTAGGAAGATAAGATAGAAAGGGGAGGAACACTGCAAAGTAGGTTTCATTCTCCTGAAATTACTGAGTTGAATTTGATGGTCCAGATTTCATATTTTTTTTTTCAAATTTAATTTAAGTGGCTGGTTAGTTTGCTAACTGGGCCTTGGGTTCCTTAATGGCAATTGGAATAATATAGACAATAGCAATCACAGTGACTTATTCACCTCATAGAATCATAGATTCTGTGAGTGATTCACAGAGTGAAGACTCTGAGCGGACCTTGTCTAAAATGTATGGAGAGTTGTCGGATCCCCAACATTCGGGGTTTTTAAAATAATTATATCAACATAAAGTATTTGTGCTGTTTTGACTCTTAGCAGTACTGTATTAAGTAACTGTCAGGCTTGTTTACATAATGTAATCTGTAACTATTCAGTTATGTGTTACCTCTGATGATCTTATTTCCTACTTAGGTGTGTCTGTATAAAGTAAATGTATTCATATGTCTGGAAAGCACCAGTTTATAGATCTACCAGTCCTGTTCATTAGCTGGTCTCAAATACTGGGACCAGTGTAGGGAAAATATAGAGTTATAAAACAAAGACAGACTTTGTGATGTTGGCAGTGCATGAGAAGTATATTTGTTACCTACTACAAATGAAAGACACATCCATAAATAATTAAGAGATGTTGCACAGCATAGCAGAAAACCCTCATGTTGCATACTGATGTAGAAAACAGTTACGGTAACTCATGTCACCTCCTGTTGTCCTTGTACACCAGGGATGGGTGACTGTGGGCCTCTAGATGTTGGACTTCAGTTCCTATCACACCAACATTTGGAGGGCTGCAGTTGGTCCAGTCATGAGCTAGTGCAGTGTAGTGGTTTGTGCATTGGACTATGACTCTGGAAACCAGGGTTTGAATCCTCACTGGGCCATGGAATCCCACTGGTTTCCTGGGCAAGTCACATTCTCTCAGACTTAAAAGCATCTGAGGAAGTAAACTGAAATCCATGAAAGCTCATGCTGCCAACTTCTTTCTTTCAATTAGTCTCAAAAGGTACTACAAGATTTCTCTACATACTGATTCTACAGACTAACACGGCTATATCTTTGAATTTGAGCAATCGTAGCATCAATTAAAATGGAAGCAATAAAATTGCAAACATACCAACATAGCATAAAAGCCACACAGGTGGAGGGGGTGGGGATTCTTAAAAAGTATGACACTGCATCAAGATTATGCCTAAGCACAAAATGGACTCCTGACAAAAAGTGTTTTCAAAGTGCAGTTCAGTGTGTAAATAGTGCAGGATTTCCTCAGTGTACACACATGAACACCTGTACATACATATGTCTACCATCTGCCTTGTGCCTAGATACATCCATTTGGGGAGCCTCTTGCAGATATTTGAACAGGGATTGATAAATACAAGTAGATTATGAAGAAATGTTGCAGTGTAAGGCTTTTCCCTTTCTCTATGTAGTTCGTTCTACTGTGTAAAGGGATCCTGGTGCCAAATCCAATTGTTTGTCCCAACTAGAGTCAGACCCACAAAATCAAAGGGAACTTGCTAGTTAGGACTAGCAGTTGGATTTAGGCCATAATGCCCTGTGATGGTTCACTGAGCCATACTCAAACACTTGTAAAGAGTTCTGGCATGTACATCATCCATACATTTATGTACCTGTTGTTACATCAGTGTAGGTGCAACACAAATATTGGTTGCATAAAGTGCAGAGAAAGCCATGCCTTTTCTTCTTCTCTGTATATTACACTAGCATTCAAAATGCATTATATGTGGCTTCAACTCAGGACGTTATCACACGGGGTCTAAAGCAGTGCCATCCCCGGCGC